AAGATATTGCCGCAAATAACTCAATTTAATGTACAATTTTGTTTAAATATATGTTCATACATCTCATAGTAATTAGTGATTATTATGATCCATCATCTAATTGCACAAGATAACTTTTTGATGAAATAAATACTCCCGCCATTATTATAGATCCAATCCAGAAACTCAGAAATAACCATATGGACTTTGTAATTCTGAGAATTCAAGTAGATTATTCTGTATTTTTTTGCCTTTAATTGGTTCTCCACATGTGTTTTTACTCCTTATTCTCTTTTCCTATTTCCTTTAACAATCAATCCCAAATATACAAATAGTAAAACAACCTAAAATCACCCAAAACCTTTGTTTACTACCAAATACGAAGAAGTAAATGCAAAAGAATAAATTCGCCACGAGAATGAGTTTTCATTGACGTATTAATACATAGAAGGCAAATAAAAAATAATTGGCAAGAGAATAAAATTCGACGAAACATCAGTCTCGAAAATCTCCTTTTTTCATTGTCCTACTTTGCCAATGATTTGCTACCTAGTCACCAAGCCGTCAGAATTGTCGTAAATCATCATGTGACAAAACCTTAATCCACAAGGATTTCTGCAAAGAAGCCCTAGCGTCAGCCAACAGCAAGTGGACATGCTAAAGCGTTACAAAAAGTGCATTCTAAGTACGTAGCATCAATTGAAGCCAATGAAATTATTTGCCACAGCTTCATCCCTAAATTGCTCGGAAACAAGTTCAGATGCATCTGTATAAGCAGGCTTTAAACAGTTGCTCTGAGTCTATCAGAGTGCCTTGACTCAGATTTAAGGAATAACAACGGCTGACTGTTGATGCGAAGGCTTATAAACTGAATAGTTAATACACTGGATTAGTGCCTGTGATGACCCAGTTTCTAAAGACTTGTGAGGGAAGGTTCAATGGAGTTACATCTCCATTGACTAAGGGTTCAACACAAAATTAGCCAAATTTCCCAGTATTATTTTTTACATTTTGCAAATCTCTCCGCCCAACAATTGAACTCTTATGTGAGCCCATCTCAATCTTTCCTATTTGTGTATTATCGGTTATAGGTATGATGTATGCAACAATAATTATGAAATGG